GTTATGACCTAAATATATCCCTTTTCTTAAGTGATGTCCCATACAAATGTATGCATCCTATGTTAAATCTCAGTCAGGAAGGGCCTAATGCAACAAGGAGGAACTTGGGGAGTGGAACAGACAGACCTATGAAATTATCTGCACCCTTGATATTAGTCAAGTTTGATAATGGTTAAGATTTCCAACTCTGCGAGTCTAATTTGATGATCTGATCTTTTGTATTATCTTGGTTCTCTAAGTGGTTTCCCTGCTTTAATCCTTGGTTCCTTCAGTCTCAACGACAAGAGCGACAACAAGCCCTTTAGAATGCAAGCGAGGTCATGTTACTTCTCTGATCAAATGGCTTTCTATTAAGAGCAAAGCCCAAATCCGACAATGGCCGCAAAGCCCTGCATGATCAGACCTCCCAGTTTCTTCACTGTACACGTCTCTTACGAGCCTCCCCCTCTGTCACTCTGCTCTATGCCCACCGCCCTCCTTGCTGGCCCTGCAACTTGCAGGCAGTTCTTCCTCGGGACCACTGCTCTCCCCTCTGCCTGAAGACACCCACAGAGGCTGCCTCTTCTCGAAATTTCAAGTCTTTACCTCCTCCGACTTTCCCCGACTATGTAGTTGCCCAAACCCTCCAGCACTGTAAACCACACACACATCCCTTTTACCCTGATTTGTCCTTCTCCATAGCCTTTGTCACCTTCTCAGACATCATATAATTTATACATTTATTTATTATCTCTCCTCAACATAAGACTGCAAGCTCCCTGAGAACAGAGATATTTTAACTATTTTCCTAGGTGCAGCACTTTGAGCAGCACCTAGCAAAACAGGCAAATATTGTGAAATACACGAATGGAATTTCCCCCTGGGTATTGTTGTGCCTGAATTCGGCGTGTACATTATTCCCTCCCTCTTCCTGGAACAGGTGGCCCAGCGCCATTCACACCCATTGGCGCCAGGCCATGAGTAACCTGCATGCATTTAAAATTATTCATTGTGGCTTTGTGGGTCTTTTGTAGATTTTTTTATTGCATTAGAATCGATGAACAATGCCTGTTTTATGCAATTCACTGAGTTTTCTCTTATGGTCTAGTTCATGGTGGATCTTTTCAAATGTTTCAACTGTATTCGAAATCAACATGGGTGCCCAGTTTATTGGCTGCAGCACACACATCATCTAGTTGGCTAATTGTGAAATTCAAATCCTCTTACTTTTTATCTGATAGTTTATGACGAGATTTATTAATGTACCAGTATTATGGTGTAATTTAGTTTAGAATAGTTCACAGACACTTTAAGTCTGTCACAGAAAGAAACCTTCTAGGTGCAGTGAACATTCTAATCAGGAAAACCATACTGCAGAGCTGGCCACTATAAGTCCTTCTATTAATTTTCACTGATCATTAAGGTTACCCAGAATAATGAGTGCAATCAGGGCTTGTTAGAATAACAGGTTAGAAGAGGTCCCTCACTGTTAACACCAGTAGTATTCAAGATAAGAAAACTGGATCATTTAGACCACCCCCAGCCCTACACAAACAAGGTAAGACTATCTAGCAAGGCCCTGGGGTGGTGCCTGAGACTTAATCCTAAAATACCGCTGCCTGGCCACCGGGTTAGAGGATGGCTCATGGTGGTAACAGGAACAAAATTTTGCCCTTGGAATAGTCACAACCATCCTGAATAAAAAACTTTTCATGAAAAATGTGACTGGATCACCTAGAGACAGAGCTGGAACTTCATTAAGCTTACAAAATAGAATGTCAGAACTGTTTTGAGCCTGATTACTAATCAATTATTGTTAGTAAGGTTGTAGAAATTAGCTGATCAATAACCACCTAAATGCTGTTAACAGTATCTAGAAATAACATTGTGATAAATAAATCAAATGCCAGAGTATAATTTAAAAATATATTTCATATTTCTAGCATCATAAAAATAAATCCCTTTGTATGAATTACTTTAAA